TGGCTGCCACGTGTCCCTGAGTTCATGGCACCATTTCTATTTGGGTCCAATCACCGACTGGTAGATCCATACTATTGGGACTTTGGTCACAAATCTATGAGGGAAGAGATCTAAGTAAGACCTCTAAGTATTAAACCTCTATGATGTGAATTCCTTAGATTTTTGCCATATGCAGGGGGAGTTGTTTTCTTGTATTGTGGAACCAGCCGTAGATTTTTTGTGTCAGCTATATAATACCTTTATTTTGAGGTGTAGAAGTTAAAGAGGATTTTACTGAAACTTTTCCACCTTACTGTAGAACTCTTCACTGTTGCCTGCTTTTCTGTGAAATGGCGAAACTATTATCTTCTTTCTTGTTCTTGATGCCCTGCCCAGGAAACAGCCTACCACATGCCAAGAGCTTGGGTTACAAAGACTAAAGGGAGTCAGTCCCAGCCTCAGCCCTCAAGGATTTGACATTATTCTCATGTCTGTGTGTGTAGGGGTGGGGGGTTGGAGAGAGAGAGAGAGAGGAGAGAGGGAGGGAGAGAGAGAGAAAGAGAGAAAGAGCTTCATAGGTGAATCAGAATATCTATGGATGAAATTGCTAGTGATGGCAGGGCAGGGGAGGAAGAGTGGGCAGGGAACTGCCAATTCAGGGAATGAGGAAAGGGAAAGAGATGACACTTGAATTGATCAAGCCTTGCAGAGGGCTCCAGTTGCCAAGGATTAGAGGGGAGGAAGGAGAGGCTTCCTAGACCAGAGGGCCAAGCAGGGAAGCTGGAACTAGAATGTTTCCTCTAGTGATTAGCAGATAGACCTCTTTTGTCTGTGGCCTAGATATTGAGGAGGAGTAAAAGGTAATGATGTTGGCAAGTTAGGAAGCAGGTACATTGTGCATGTAAGGTTGGGCTTGCATTAACCAAGGGAAGAGTTCATATTTGATTGTAGCAGACGTGAGGAGTCCTGGCCAGAACCTTCAAAGGACTGATAGGGTTAGTGGTAGATATACCTCTCAAAGGTCCTAGCATGTTTGGGATGTTCCTACTAAGTGATATATTTTGATGGTGCAAGTTTCACATTGTCTCAGTTTGCCTACATACTATACTCTCAACCACATTTATTTAATAACATAATATTATTATTTTTGTTAGAATTCTTGTTTTGGACAAAAGTACCAAGTCATCTCAAGCTAACAAGAAGCCCACATTCTTCTACTCATGACCACGTTTTTATTGGTCTTCCCCCTAAATACTTCTTATTCCACATAATTGATCCCTGACCTTTGTCTAAGCCCTCCAAGTTTCAAAGTTCTTAATTAACATATAGTAACCTTCCAACAAATCCCAAGATGAGCTCAAGGTTATTCTTTTGAACTTCAAGAATTTATTAAGCACCTGCTATGGGCCCAGCAACTTACTAGGCCCTTAGAATACACAGACCCAAACCACAACAAAATCCAAACCAGACCAAACCAACATACCTAATGAAAACTTTTGATTGTGGGGATTACAAGCAGACTAGTCTTTTAGTGTTATCCTATTCAATATTTATGTTTTTAGGAAAAGCACCCATCTAGATGATGGGTATATATAAAGAATTAGGGTAGTAACTATGTGAGCGGAGAGGAGACAGTTGGGAGAGATAATGTGGAAGTCAAATTCACAAGATCTGGCAACTGAGATATGGGTCTATTAGTATGGCTGTGTTTGTTTCTTCCCAGGGTCAGGTAGTGGGTACCTGTCTGTGGTTAGAGGATGGGCCAATTCATCATTGATGAAGTACTTTCGAGTATTCTGTGTTCCATCCTTGGTGTAGCAAGGGACCTCACCCAGGCTAACCAGGGGCACTCAAATATGCCATATAAGTTCTCAGCTGCTTTTCCCAAAGGATCAATAAACCATACAGTAGAAAACTGGGAGGGAAACCAGTACATGAAAGCTGTGCTGCTATGGGATCCCTGTAGGACTCTGTTGGAGGCACAGCTCTAACACCAGCATCCTCTCTGTCCAGGTTTGATTTGGGGGTGAAACAAGGTATTTGAAGTCTCCTTTACCAAAGGAGACTTGCTTTGCCCTAACGCAGCTAGGACATACAACAAGGATATAGAGGCAATTTAGCTTCTCTGACCATGGTTCATGTGGAAACAAATGCATCTTGTCAGTAGAACATCAGGGTATGGAGACTTGTCTCTAATATAGTAAACTGAGAATAGAGATCCACATTCTATAAGTCAGCTTCTTCCCAGAGTCTTTGTCTCTTCGGCAATCTGTATTCAGCATTATATATTTTCTCTCTCAAAGCCAGAAGAATCCAGGATCTCTCTCTTCCCAATCTCAACAACTCCACTCTGCCCTTCGTTCAGGCTTGGGACATTAGTCTCCACCAATGAGGCAGAAAGTCCCATCCCAATGGGATTTGGGGCTCAGATTACATTTGTGAAGCACTTGGCAAACCTTAAAGTGCTATGTAAATGCTAGCTATTACTACTACTACTGCTGCTGCTGCTGCTACTACTACTACTGTTATTATCATTAATAAGCTCAAGCTGAGCCTAGTGCCATGGCTCTTGGGTATAAAACTTCAAGCTGTCAACAGCAAAACAACCAGACCTTATCATTCTTATAGAAATAGAGATAGAATAGAGAATAGAGGCAATTTCCTCTATCAATACAAGTCAGCATCTCCTCAGCATTTTGTAGTCTTAGAGTGTTTCATATAGTACTGAGAAGTTAAATGATTTGCCCAGAATCACATATAACCGAAGTCTTCCTGACTCTGAGACCAACTATCTATCCATTAAGCCACAATACCTTTCACATGTATATTGACTACACATGCACCTAAGGTCCACAGATTGCCCTCCTGTTTATTTAAATTATTGTTTTAACAAAAATATGGACTGGGCTTTTGGGACCATTTCTTGGAGCATGCATTAATACTCTCAGTCTAGTCCTAGACCTCATCATAGAAGCTTAGGGGAGCCTACTTCCTTCCTCTCTCTGACTACTGAGCCAGAAGACTTGATGACTCAGGAATTATTTAAAGCAAGCTCCTGGGAAGATGTAGGAAAATTGGAACACTAATGCATTGTTGGTGGAATTGTGAAATGGATGAAATGGAAATTGTGAAATGATCCAACCATTTTGGAGAGCAATTTGGAACTATGCCCAAAGGGCTATAAAAATGTGCATATCTTTTGATCCAGCAATAGCACTTCTAAGTCTGTATCCCGAAGAGTTCATAAAAATGGGAAAAGACCCACATGTACAAAAATATTTATAGCAGCTCTTTCTGTGGTGGCAAAGAATTGGAAATTGAGGGGATGTCCATCAATTGGGGAATGGCTGAATAAGTTGTGGTATATGAATGTAATGGAATACTACTGTGCTATAAGAAATGATGAGCAGGTAGACTTCAGAAAAACCTGGAAAGACTTGTATAGACTAATGCTGAGTGAAATGAGCAGAACCAGGAGAACGTTGTGCACAGCAACAGCCATGTTGTGCGATGACTAACTTTTATAGACTTAGCTCTTCTTAGCAATGCAAGGATCTAAGACATCTCCAAAAGTCTCATGATAGAAAATGCTATCCACATCCAGAGAAAGAACTATGGAGTTTGAATGCAGATTGAAACATACTATTTGCTCTTTTTTCTTCTTCTGTTTTGTTTCTTCTTTCTTGTGGTTCCTCATATTGGTTCCCATTTTTCTTTACAGTATGACTAATGGGAAAACGTTTAATAGGAATGTATATGTCGAACCTATATCAGATTGCACACCATCACAGAGAGGGAGGTGGAAATTTAAAACTCAAAAGTTTATGGACGTGATTGTTGAAAACTAAAAATTAAAGTAATTAAAAAAAAATAAAACCCAAAAAACTCCTGGGCTCTTGAACTTTTTTGCTTTCTGGCCCCTACCCAACTTAGAGCTGGTTATAAACAGGTAATTAAACACAATTGACTGTTATTTCACATTTTTCTCCTCCTTTTACAATATCTATTCTGAGTATAAGTTTTATGATGGACGTAATTTTTAGACATTATAATGGACGTAATAATACCCACAGTAACATATATGTATAAATAGTAAATTCACATATATGGGAGGTATAGAGTCAAAAAACCTTAGAGACTAACCTTCTAGAATTCAGAACCAATAAAGTCCTCCTCATCCAGATGCTTTCCTGAGGCTTGGCTTGTTTAGGCAGCCACACTAGTCAAAGGGCATAATATCCCTGACTCACTGGTCACTTAATTAGTGTGACAACATTTCTTGGCCTTTCGGACATTAGAGTCACCAGGTGTCTGGAGACTGTTCCTTCTGTAGGACTGTCAACTGTCATCTGGGAAGACTCACTAAGTACTCACCTGTACCTATCATTGCATTCATTATTAAAACTTTCTGAAAAGTAAAAACGAAAAAAAAAAAATCCACGCCACAGGTCTAAACTGGTGGTGGGATAGGATAGACTGGGCTTTAGGAGCTATGATTAGGGTCACGCATGTGGAAACTCCCTATCAGAAATCCTCTGTAATTTAACCGGGGCCACTAAAGTTAAATGAGCTGTCTAGGGTCACATGTTTCAGACACACATAACTTGAACCCAAATCTTTCTGGTTCTACTACACCTTGCTGGCTTTCATTCCTTATATAGTTCATTATTAGTGTTGTTTGGTTTTGTAGACTTGACCCTTACTCAGGGCCCCTGGCTTCCTTCTTGTGCAGAAGTCTCCAAGAGAATTCCTAGCATTTGATTATTTGGGGGAGGAAAGGGAAAACCTGGAGTCTTCACAATCCAATAAGAAGATCCAAATTTGCATAGAACCTTCCTATGCCCTTGATGGAAAAATGTCAACGGCAACCCCTTTCTCTAACCCTTCAATTCTCTTTTCAGCTTTGAGGTTCTTCTCTGTCACAAAATGAGTTGGACACTTGGGAATTTCACTAGAAAGCTCCCTCCTTTGTGACATCATTAGGAAGAGAGGTAGCTAAGGGAACCGATGATTGAGCCTCTCTGGGAACAACAGTCAAGATCAGCAGCTCTTAAAACTGAGAGTAAAGATTCACATGCAGCAAGGCCCCTAATCCAGAGAGTGAAACATGGGCTCTACCCAGAAAAGCTCCATGTCTCAGACAGCCAAGATGACTAAAGCCTCGCTTAAAGTTTCTGCTCCTATGCAGCGAGGGCCTGAGGTCAATCATAGTGTGAGTCCCCATCGAGGCCCTTCTGCCAGTCAGAGAGGTGCAGATTTGTCCCGGAGTGTTTCCCCCCAACGCGGAATGGAAAGCCGTCAAACCTCCCAAAGAGGGGTAGATACCCCTCAATCTGCTTCCCCCCAGTATGGGCTTGATTTCTCCCGAATTTCCTCCTCCCAAGGGAACGAATCTATTTCTCACAGCCAAGGCCATTTAAAGGCTGAAGCAACCCATCACGGCTCACCTCAATACAAACATGAACACGGCTCAGTTCCTCATGGGAACTTGCTTGCCCCGTCAGGGAGAGCACAGATGAAATATGATGGTACTTCTTATGGTGGCACACACAGGACCCAAAGTCCACCAACACAGGATCAAACACATAAAAATGTGGCTGCCCCAGGGCAAGAGAGCCATCGGAACATACTTCCCTCAGATGCCAAAATCACTTCCCGGGCACTGTACTCAAATCCGAAGGAATCAACTACAGTACCGAGCTCTCAATGGGATGTGGAACCACCGCCCTCCAAGGTTACAAACCCCCAAGGGGTCCGAAGCCCTCGAAGGTGTTTAATTAACCCAAAGGATGAATCCACCCAGACTGATTTCAAAAAGAATTTGGTCTATTCTGAGGGTAAATCTGTCTTGAGGAAACCACCCTCCTCAGATCCAACCCATACTGCTCTGGAGACCAAACCAACCCAAAGAACCATGTCTGTGCAAGAATCTCAGGCAGGTCCCCGAAGCACAGTCCATGCAGAAACTAAGGGATCCCACAGAAACTTGGGGTCTTTAGAAGTAGAGTCAGCTGTTAAGGTTTCATTCCGTAAGGATCCTGATCACCCCCAAAAAGTTGCAGGCCGATCAGAAGTTGAGACAGTCCAAAGACAGGTTCCATCCCCTACTAGGGTTGCAATGGCCCAGGAGGCAGAGGCAGCTATTAAGAGCTCTGCTCGTTCAGGGCGTGAGTCACGCCGGGTCACCATCTTAACAGAGTCAGATGCGTCTTCTCCAAGTCCTTGCCAGCAACCAAGTGAACCTTCCCACAAACCTCCAATTTTAAGTTCTTCCTTTAAGCCACCATCTTCTGAAGCCTCAGTGAAGGTTGCTACTGTTACAGAGCCAGAATTGATCCCTCGTCCTTTACCACCTAGGTCCTTACCAAAGTATGATCCTGAGTCTTCATGGTGGATCTTATTCCACCCAGAACCTCCTGAACCTCCAAAGTGTGAGACAGTCTTAACACAGTCAGAACATAGGCCAACTCACTTGGATCTTTTCATGTCCCAGATAGGGATAGCCTCAGCTTACTGTGAAGAGTTAATCATACAGAGTGAGAAGGCAACTTCTCCTGAACCGCAATCTCCAAGGACAATGCCATCATGTGATTTGCTGAAGTCTACGTGGCAGCCCTTGGAATCATCTGAGTCCGTGGAGGATGGAACCATTCAAAGGTTTAGTGCTTTCTTCCTGGGTATGTTTTGAAGAAGTATGCCTAGGTGCAGTCCCAATTTAGTGAGATGGGCCACTGGTGGGTGGGAATGGATGGCAGTAGATCACAGTGGGCTTGCCTACTACTACACTTATGTCAGCATGAGCACCGGTCACTCTTGTGACCTCTTTGGTTTGGATCAGAGCTGGCCGAGAGAAAAGCCAATTTCTTCTAAGGATACTGGCTCCACCTTCATCCCTCTTGTTCTCTGGACCCAGAGGAAATACCTAGTGATTTAAAATACTGGGTCTGGTCTTAGAATGTGGTTTCTAGAGTTAGAGACTGGGGAATGAGCTGGGGTGGGCGGAGGGTATTACAGAGAATCAGGTCTTCTAAGTAGATGTTCTTGAAGACAAGATGGAAAAGGCAAGGGGCTTGTTGTATTAAAATAGAAGGATATGGATGAGCCCTCTCAAATGTAGTTACCTTCCTTCGTGTATCTTTGGGATAAAATAACACTTGGGCAGAATCCAGTGTGCCAAGTGAAGGGAACTGGAATGGTTGTGGGGATTACCATCTGGTGCTGGAAGAAAAGCAATGATTTTTTTCTGTTGCTTTCAGATGTTACTGATGAGATGCTTAATCGGGTCATCTGGTGGTTGAAAGGTTTGTGTTTTTGCCCCATTTATGTCATTTGGAAGTGGGGGTGGTGATGGGTGTAGGAGGAGTGATTGGTTTACCAGTTCCCATTGGGATATTCCACATTTGCTGGATGTGACTTGTTTTTTCAGTAAACCATTTGAAGTATAACAAGGTGGCTCCTATGTGTTGAGATGTGAAGGTCCCTACCTACCTGTCATTGTGACCCAAATTTGATCCAAGGCTTTTTATCCTCAAGGGACCTCTATTAAAATGAGGCAAATCTTGGGAGGGAAATAGTACTGGATTTGGAGTCAGAGAGCCTGGGTTGGAATCCTAATTCTGCTATTTCCCATATGTGTGGCCTTGGACAAGTCATTTCTCTTCTCTGGGTCTCGGATTCATCATTTGAAAAATGGGAAGGAGGGATGGGATTAGACAAAGTATTCTAATATTTCCTTCAACCTTTAACCTATTTAGATCACACATTTGAAGAAATTATTAGTTGGCCTCAAGCTAAGGGGAGGAAACAACTTGGTTGTGAAGCATATAGAGGACTAGCCTCAGTCTCTTTCCTCCTCCTTCCAGATATGTGGCTATTGAGAGCTATATAAGGAGAGACATAATAGTTGCATTGCCTATAAGACACTTAGCATAAGCCATACCCACCAGCCCACTTTGTGGCCATCCAGAGAATATTTTATTCCTTCTGTTTGTACCCTGCCTCTCTCAGGCTCTGCCCGCTCTCATTGGACCACAGATAGAGATAGAGCTGCACAGGACCTCACAGGTTATCTGGTCTAAAATGGCAGAATCTATATTTGAACTCTGTCTGCATATCCAACATTTTTGCCACTGCATCATGCTATCTCTAGTTTGGACTTAAATTGTGAATTCAGGTGGCCTAAGTTGTTGCTAATATAACCTTCTGAACTTTCTGTAGCCTGGAACACAGGTACTCGCCCAAAGAATAGAATAAAGACTAAAAGCTCTAGTTGTTAGAGAGCCTCAAATGAGAATAAATCTTGAAAATTTCACCTTTAACCCTGTACTACCTCCCCACAATAAATTCAAAGGGATGGGAAAGAAAGAGACCAGGCTCTCTCAGAGGATGCATTTAAAGACCACTAAAAAGCATCTTTCCCTTCAGCAGGAGAAAAGTTCCTTTGGGGGCCACTTAAATTAGGAAAAGAATTGGGCCTGGGCTCTATTGCTAGATATTGAAGGTTTATAAGATAAAGTAAATTATAATTATAAGTAAAATTCTGTCCCCCCCCTTTTTTTTTTGTCCACTGGCTGTTTAAATTCCCTTTGTGGTCCTTGGGAACTGCCTATCTTCCAAACTCTCCATTTTAACAGATGATGAGGTAAGAGATCATCTGGAATGCTACAACTCTTGGCCTTCTTTCTGTCACATCCTCTACCCCTTCCCACCCTCCCTTGTTCCTTCCTTTGGTTTCTCAATTGGTGGAGAACTGGGTTGTATGAGGGGTCTCCCCATTCTCCTAGAGTGAAAAAATAGTCACCCCAGATGTAAGGAATAGTGTCTCAGTTGACAGAGAAATGGTTTGATGGGTAGATTGACAGATAAAAGCATTTATTAAGTATGTGCCAGGCACTCTACTAAGTGTTGGAGAGGTTAAAAAAAAAGCAAACAAGACAATTCTTGCCTCCCAAAGAGCTTACATTCTAATGGGGGAAGGCTATCTATAAAGGGGAACTGGAAATCAAGGAAAGAGGGCACAAAGTGGGGGAAGGCTTCTGGGAAAAGGAGAAGTCAGGAGAGGGAATGGAGTTGGCAGTGAAGTGAATATGACTGGGACCACACATAAAATGGTGGTCTGGGATAGAGACTAAGCCATCAGGAGATCAGAGCCTCAGGGTGGAGGCATCCCCAGGATGGGAAGGCTGCTGGTGAGGAGGTAGAGAAGTTGAGTAAAGCAAGCATGGATTATGTGAGGGGTATCCCCCATTCTCCTAAGGTGGAGGACCATTGCCTGAGACAAAAGAAGTGGAAAGTACTGCAAAGCTCTTGAGCAAAAGGGAAACAGGGAAAGTTGAGAATCTTTGTTGAGACCTTTAGGCTCTGCTCCAAGATCTCTTTGGAAGAGTCCTGGCTTGACTTTCTCTACTCTAGCTAGTAAAACCCTACAATGAGATCTTTTCCTTGGATTCTACCCTGGCAACCTCAGGCCACTGTCTGTAACACTTTGAATGAGGGTTATTTCTGAGAGTTCTACAAATGAGGAGACTTGATCGGTTTTGCATATTTCAGTCTCTACATTGGTGGCAAAGTCCTTTCCAAATGAAGCATTAGGTGATAAATCAGTGTCTATACTAAGGAGGGGAAAAGGAGAAAACCCATATATAAGCTCATATGTCCAAATTGAATTTCTCAAAGGATATTCTGTGTAACTGCCTGAAGCCTCAGAGGCACTAGGGGTAGGAGGGATGCTATGGCCTTCTAAATCTGCATTCAGATGGGGTGGTGATATGGCCACTTCAAATATGGCTTTCTAGGTTTCCCTTTGGTTTCAGTAAAAGTATCATCTCTGACACACAAGAGGTTAGTTATTCAGTAAGTGTTTGTTAACCACTTACTATGTATTTAGCACTGTGCTAAATGCCAGAGTTACAAAGACAAACAAAAAAAAATATGGTCCCTGCCTTCAAGGTATTCATCTCTCTCTCTCTCTCTCTCTCTCTCTCTCTCTCTCTCTCTCTCTCTCTCTCTCTCTCTCTCTCTCTTTTTGGTGAGGCAATTGGGGTTAATTGATTTGCCCAAAGTCACACAGCTAGTGCGTGTTGTGTGTCTGAGGCCAGATTTAAACTTAGGTCCTCCTGACTCCAGGGCCGGTGCTATAACTAATGTGCTGCCTAGCTGCCCCCATATTTATCTCTTAATGGGAAAATATGCAAATACATATGTACATACATACATATACACGGTATAAATGGAAAGTAATTTCAGAGGGAAGGTTCTGTCTATCTATTATTATTTTTTAGGCAACTAGGGTTAAGTGACTTGCTCAGGGTCACATAGCTAGTAAGTGTTTGAGGCCAGATTTGAACTCAGGTCCTTCTGACTCCAGGGCTGGTGGTCTATCCACTACACCATCTAGCTGCCCCCTAACATTGTCATTTTTTTTGAAGGTTATATCTAGAAACTGAAGGGATCAGGAAAGGCCTCTTATAGAAGGTAGGATTTGATTTTAGTCTTGAAGGAGGCCAGGGGAGCCAGGAGGTAGGAGAAAGACACAGAGTAAGGAGGTAGAGTATTAGAGATGTCCCCTTGCTTTTGAGGGGCTTTAGAGTGGTGATTGTTGAGGAATCAATGGTTTATCTATTATATCTATTCCCAGATCTATTCTTTTGAATTTTTGAGTGTCATAATTGGGTGATGGCGAAAGGAGAGAAAAAGAAAAAAGTGGGGCAAGAATCTGACTCATCCCATAGATGACTTTGGGTATGTTCTCATAGAGATAGGATTCTACTCTTCATGGCCTTAGCTCCTGTCCCCTACAGAGGTGGTTATGAGCTCATCCAAGAACAAAGGTGCCAAAGTTTGTCGATGGCCTGAAATTCTGATTTAACTCTTAACACTCTTGTAGTTTGTTATTGTTGTTCACTCATTTCAGTTGTGTCCAACTCTTGGTGACCCCATTTAGGGTTTTCTTAGCAAAAATGCAGGAGTGATTTGCCATTTCCTTCTCCAGCCCATTTGACAGATGAGGAACCTGAGGCCAACAGGGTTAAGTGACCTGCCCAGGGTCACACAGCTACTAAGCGTCTGAGGCCAGATTTGAACTCATGAAGATGAATCTTCCTAACTCCAGGCCCACTACTCTAGTGTTCCAAAAGGAACTTGATAGGCTATCTAGCTATCTAGTTTAAATTCCTCATTTTAACAGGAAAATCAAAGAAATTAAGCAAGTTGTCAGAAAGGGATGGACTTCAAACCAGGGGTTTGCCTCCAAATCCAGCATCTTTTCCATTGAATCACACTGATTCCTATAGAGAGAGGGGGGATACTGTGGGGGCAGGGAGGTGAGTTAGAAAACTATTTCAATAATCTAGAATGAGAGGTGATGAGACCTTGAACTAGGCTAGCGGCTGAGGAAATGGAAAGAAGAGGACCGGCTAGAGATCAGTTAGAGAAATAGAATGGTTAGGACTTCACATCTGATTAGATGGTGGGGATGGAGAAGTTAGGAAGGAAAGGGGAAGAGGCATATCATATTTTCATGATACCTACAGTTTACAAGGCACTTCATTTCTTCACAATAACCACCATTTCGTGTAGGTAGAACAAATATCATTATCCCTATTTTATAGAAGAGAAAACTGAGCTTCTCAGAAGTTAAGTGATTCAGCAGAGTTTACATTACTATTAAGTGTTATGGAGGGAGCTGTTTCTTGATTAATTTTGTCTGGCCTGATAGCCACTATGCCCCAGATTTCTAAAATGCATGGTGGTGCCTCCAACATACAGAAGTAGGGAAGACAGGCTTTTTTTTTTCAAGAAAAATAAAAAACTCAATTGGGAAACATGGTATTTGAAGGCCAAGGAGACTTGTCCTTGAGTTTATAGCTCATTGGAGAGATAGCAGCACATGAAACATTTAAATAATACTAAGATACAATTATAGTCAAATACCTATGTGAGAGGGAGATACAGTGAGTGATTGGGAGTACTTTCCTCCCCCAGAAGTATAAGAGTTTTAGTCAAGGGAGCAACGTCAGTGACCCTTTGGTATAGGTCACCACTTGCTGATGGAGGTCGAGGAAAGGGTTAGTTCATTCCTGCATTCTGTATACAGGGTGTCCCAAAAGTCTTAGCACCATTTTAAGCTATTAAAACGAAGACTTTTGGAAGATACCCTGTATGACATTTCTCCTAGAGCAGGGGCTTTATTCTGTTGTATACCCCTCTTCTCCCATCCTCTACTCATCTTGTTTTGGAAGTTAAAAACCAAAAACAGCAGCGGGAAGACTCCTTCCTAAAATAACTCCTGGCCTATCTCAATAATTATAATTCTTCTGCCTTGCTCAGCTACAGAATCTGCCCAGGAACAGGGAGGAGAATTCTCTCAGGCAGCTGTGTCTCTGGTTCACCTATGGCACCCTGGAATCATAGCTATCATATAGGTGGTCCCAGTACCCTCTTCATAAAGAAGAGCCCCACTTTTAGAATCAGAGGCAGAAAGCTGGGCTGACCGAGCCCCCTGGGGAGACTTAACCCCAAAATTAGAGACTCTGGTTTATGTTTGGGGACTACTCTCCCCTCACACCCCACATACAGGTTGGAACGCTATACATGGATGAGTCACAGTGTTTTTTTTCCTCTGGGCCTTGGTCATCTTTTCTGTGGACACCTGAGTAATTTTCAGTTGGAACCCCAAGTGTTCTTTACTGCATGGTAGAGGCCAGATAGGACAACCCCCTCCCTAACACCCCCACTCCTATCCCATTTTCCTGAAAAAAAAGAAAGCAACACATTCTCAGAATTTCAACTTCTAGTACTGTTTGACCCTTGGCTAAGGTCACTGGGAATAGCTCTGACCCCCCTCATTCTTACTTAAGGGGAAACTCTCTTCTCTTAGTGCCTGAAGGAATTTCTAACCTAATGCCCCACCCCCTGCTGCTCTGTCCTTAGTCTGTTCTTAGAGTAAGACATCAGTAATTGGAATCTCCCCAGAGAATAGTTAGCTCTGATCAAGGGAAACACATTCTTCGCTATTATTATTATTATTGTTGTTGTTGTTTTGCTCAGCTCATAGGACCATAGATCTAGTTCAATACCTTCATTTGACAGAGGAAGAAACTGAGGCCAAGTGCTTTTAAGAGATTCAACAGGAAGGTTCTAGAGGACCTGTCTTTTCACAGAGGCCTGGCAGTTCTGGGCATAGAATAGCTCTTGACCTAAATGGTTTAGAAGACTAGAGAGTCAGGTGAATGGGACTGCTCTAGCTTAAGGGTCATCTGCCTAGCAGGCCTGATGACTCTACTGGTGGCCCCTCTCTCTATCTGCAAGTAGAAGATATGGCTTCATTCCTTGCTCTATTGGTCTTATGAGGTAGCAGAGAAGGCATCTTCTTTTCAGCAGATTTGATGACACCCAACTCAGCTAGTGCCAGGGTGTTTGCCTGTGTGTGTTTGTGTGTGTGTGTGTGTGTGTGTGTGTGTGTGTGTGTGTGTGTGTGGCAGAGGAGGGGAGAAACCAATTGGCTTTAAGAGGGAAGGAGATGTCTTCTCTGCAAGGCAAGGATCTAAGACAACTCCAAAAGACTCATGATGGAAAATGCTATTCACATCCAAAGAAAGAACTATGGAATCTGAATGCAGATGGAAGCATACTATTTGCTCT